AAAAAAAAAAAAAATTTTGTAGAGATAGGGACTCACTGTGTTTCCCAGGCTGGTCTGAACTCCTAGCCTCAAGCCAGCTTCCTGCTTTGGCCTCCCAAAGTGCTGGGGATTATAGGCGTGAGCCACTGCATCCAGCCTGTTTAACAATTTCTGACTCTTTGCTGTGTTTTGCTTAATGAAGTGAGTGGTTTGGAAATTTAGGACATCTCATCATTTCAAATATTGACTCGCCACCCCAACTCCCTGCACCGTATCGATTTATCATATAACTGTTTCATTTTCTCTATAACACATCACTATTTAACATACCATTGTACATATTCTAATTTTTAAAAAATTTGTTTACTTATTTATTTTCCTGTTCATCGTCTGCTTCCCAACTAGAAAACAAATTCCATGAAAGCAGCAATAAATCTCTCCCATTCATCGCTCTTCCCACACATGGAAGTCCTGGCGCAGGGGAAGCCTCCCATCAGTAAATACTACAGACTAAATAACAAGCCGATTTAATAGATATGTGAGGGGATGAAAGGACGTAAGAACCTAAGACAGATCACTCCTTGATGACAAAACTAAAAAAATAAATGAATAAATAAAATCGGGTGCACCTTTATCTATTTTCTCCCCACGTATCCCCTACAAAATTCAACACTGTTGTTAAACTAGTGATTTATAGATTAGTAACATAAACACATGATCTACAAGACCTGCAAGTCCTTTCTGGCAATTCTTCCAGTGAAGAAGTATTTTTATCAGTAATTTAGTTAAATAAAGATCCAGACAACAGGTGATTCCATGAGGCAAAACACATTAGGAAAAAAATAAAAAAATAAGGAGAGGTAACCAGGCTGCATAGCTGTGCTTTCTACTCACGTTCACACACGGGAACGCTGCTATTCCAAAGGCCATTCATTCCAGCCAAGACACAATGACTAGCAGAGCTGCCTTTTAATCGGAACCTAAAGAAAAAAAGTGGTAGCAAATGTGTGAGCGATTCCCTTCTCGCTCTTCATTTCTTCACTGATATATGCCCAGCTTCCTCACTGCACCTTCCTCGCTGAGGAGCATTTGGTTTTTAGGTTCAGGCTCATCTAAAAGTCTCAGTTCATTAGTGATCTGAATTCAGTAGTTGGCAGCAGCTCAGATTCTAAAGAATCACAGTATCCTGTGACCAGCAAAGCAATCAGAGCTGATGTACTTAATCATACAGATGGCATCGCCAGTATCGCCTACAGAAGGGAGGGAACACAGAACCAGACTTCTCCGTGTGCACAAGACCCATCCCTTCATGGGTCATCCCTCGCTGATGGCCTGTGACATCCCACATATGCTCACTAGTGGGTCGTGAGGAAGAACAGCTCTCAATTTGGTGACCAAAGCAGAGAACATCTGGAAAGAGAACAGGCATTGTGCTCCTTGCTACTACAGTTGTTATGGGCCAAAAGGAGGCTCACAGAAGCACACTGACCCAAATGTTCTAGGACAAAAAGAAGGATGAGGGGAGGAGTCTTCGTCACCCTGAAATGACTCGCACTATTGGATCCTGCTGTCCTTCTGAAATCTGAAATCATTCTGAAATCGTTAATCATCACCGGGTGGTGGACTTTGTAAATGCCAAAGATTCCTTGGAAATTATTAGAAATAGCTACTTGATTTCCCAATCTTGTTATCTCACATAGACTGATGCTGCACACCACCAAGAGTAACAAATACATATAAACAACGAATAATACTACCTGAAACAGCAACATCAGCCACTATTGTCCCAATGTCAAAACCATCACTGAAGACAGATGATTGGATTAAAACATACTTATCCATCTGCTATTACAAATTCCACTACTGACTGGGTTTAAGTTTCCTGAAACAACCTTGCCTGACTTATTATAAGGCAAAAAAATTTTGTCTTATTCATCAAATATTTTTTCTAGAAAAACTTCTATAAAATTACGTGGGTGTTTTTTCTTTTTTTTTTTTTTTTGCCTCTAAATAACTACTCACCCATTCACTTCAAGTTCCAACTGAGAAATCAAGATCAGTGACTGTATATATGTTTGTACTTGACATTGAGTTATATGTGCCATTTTCTCTTTATCTCCTGGTAGAAGTGCTACTGAGTCCCTACCCTTACTTCCAAACTACCCTTCCAGAAGTTGATCTCCCTGGGTACTTCTTTTCCATTAGGACAGTCCCCTTTTTGGATTAGCCCCTGAACTCAAGAGAGTCACTCTCCAGCACTGAGTCCCTGGTCTCTATTCTGGGTCACACTCACCCTTCATTACAAACAAAGGACACCTTCGCCCCAAGCTGGTGATTAAGCGGAACTAGCACACGGCCATTAGGGAGTTGGTCCAGGAAGTCATCACAGGATTTCACTGGAGAAAAAGAAAAACAAACGGAAATAACAGTGGCATATGGAGAATAAAGACACAAGCTAAAAATGTCAAGCCAGATAAGAGTCTAGATACCTGTACATGTGGGGGCTCCCGGGCTCCAGTCCCCCTGGGGTGTACACCGCAGAAAAGCAGCCCCCGTGAGGTCAAAGCCGGGCTCACAGCTGTAGAACACTTCCTCCCCGGGCAAAAAGTCGTGTTTGTTGCTTGGGCTTTGCTCACCATGTGGGATTTCTGGAGGTGGCTGACACACTGTGGAAAGGACAGTTCCAATATACTTGTTAATCATGGGAGAGTTTCTTTTGCTATCCCCTATGCTTTCCAGAGAGCTTGAAAATCGTAATTACAGAGTACAGGTGTTAAAAGAAAAGATCTGGTAGTTCAGTACTCATGTTTTTTTTTTTAAATATAACTAAAGAACATTTATTTATTTTTCACTAAGACTTTATCTTGAGAACATAACTAACTGTGTTACCACCCCCCATCCCATCCTGAAGAAGGGTAAGTACAGTGAGTGTTATAAAGCAGCTATGAACAGTTCGAAGGACTGGAACCAACATTAACTGACAAAGAACAACTTCCACCTACATCATCATAAAAATGTTTAAGTGAAAAATAAAGAAAGAAGGAAAAAGGGGAGCAGTGGGGGTTTCAGATTGAACAAGATCCCCTCGTTTCATCTAATATAGTCAATCTTGGCTAGAGTGTAACAGAATGGAAACAGGATTACTCTAACACAAACCTTCCAGTACAGCACGCTGTCCACACCTGGCTTCCAAGCCCACCCCCACCCCCCTGATGCTTCCAACTCCATTATTTCCCGGCCTGTTGGGCCTGCCGACAAAGGAGCACACAGATCTTCTCTTTAAACCGGGCTTTGTTACAAGGCTGGTATGTCTGGGTATCAGCTCGGTGAACCAGGCGGCTGAGGTCTGCCAGATCACCGGTAAAATCAAACACCTGACTGCCATGATATGTGATGGAAGGTCGTTGGGATTCATCCTCTTCAGATGTTCTTCGTGCATTTTACAAACACCTTCCACGCGCTCATCCACGGATTCATAGTCAGCGTCAGTTCTGTCTTCCGGTCTCTTGGTACGTACCAACAAAAGGGTGCGAGACATCATTTCAAATTCTCTTTGCTGCAGCTGCTACTGACGCTGCAACTGCTACACGGGCTTCCAGTACTCACGTTTTACCGACGAGGAAACTAAGGATGCAGAGCAGAGCTCTGACGAGAATCTAGGTCTCGCCGACACCTTGTTTGGGTTTCTTTCTACTGAAACACGCTCCTAAGACTACAAGGCAGCACAGCTCCTCCTGCTTTGAGGCACTGGCCATTCCGTACGGAGTCAAGAGTGCTGGTGGCTTGTCCCCCTTCCCCTTCCTAGAAAGGCAGCCTTTCAGGCATCATCTTGAAGGTAACACGAGGGATACCTTTGCCCGAGCTTCCTCTACCAGACTCCCTCACCTGGCCTCCCGTGCAGCCAGTCACGAAGCCTTCTTCATTTTCCCTCCCCGCTCGTCCTTTAGTTACCCAGGGGCTGCCCTCTAGCTTCCCTGCTGTCCCTGTGGACCAGTCCTGACTCTTCCCACGCAGCTGCTGAGCCGACCATTTCAGCATGCAAAGATGAGAGAGACCATCAAGAAGAAAATCCACTAAAAGGAAAAAAAAAGCTGCGGACTTTTAAAATGAGAGGACTCCCTATTGCTTAGAGCATATTTCGACCCAAAATTTGGCTGCGTCCATGTACAGCCCAATTGATGTGTGCTCAGGACATCAGAGTGCATTGGTACCTCAGTCTGAACCATATATAATATAACTGAAGGAAAATGAAAAAAAAAACTTGTTTGGATTTGAGCAAGCTTTCCAAGCTTCAACTTTTCAGTAACAACGTGGAGGCGTCAAAGTCCAAGGCCTTTGTGACGTGATGCTATCATTTTGGTCCCACGGTTCATTTGCCTACTGCTGCCCTCCAATGATAGAGATATGATCATTATTATTATATGTTATTATCCATCATACATTTCACTGTACATTATCATTAGGCTCTGGTGTCAGAAAGACTCTTGAATTCCAGGCCTTGTTCTGTTTTTTCACTAGCTCTTTGACCTTGGAAAAGTCATTTAACATCTCTAAGACTCAGTTTTGTCAATGGAAAATGGGGATAAGAATAGTTGCTACCGCATATATTCGTTGTAAGTGTTAAATTAAACAATGCGTATAAAATGTGTGTATTATAGATGAGACATAGAATAAACCGGTACTTTTGGACAATTATAAGCAGAGATAACAGTGGAGCTCGTATTAATTTTAGAGTGTTTGTACCAATTTCATAGCCCTTACACACACACACACACACACACACACACACACGTACACACATGCGCTTCTTCCTTAATTTCAACAACTCCTATCACTTATATCCACTTTCACCCCGTGGCAAAACCTCAGTGGCTCTAACTC